AGATGCTCCTCCATGCCTTTCATGGCCTTGTCAAGATCTTCTTTGGTGAGCGTCTTGCCTCCAACGACGTTGCGGAACATGCCGCTAAGGGCATTGACACCCGTGCCCAAGAGACCGGATTTGGTTTCTGACTTGGTTGCAGCTGCAGCCTTTTCGGCCTCGGCGGAGGCAAGCATGCTGTGAACTTCGTCACCTAGATCTTTGAGGACAAATTTGCCTTTAGTAGAGGTTCCCCATGTTGATGCTTCGACGGCATCCAAAGCACTTGACCGACCAACAGTCTCAGCTTCGACATCGCTCGTGGGGTTGGCAGAATAGTCGAGCTGCACATCTGTATCATCCTCTTCGGCAAATCCATCCGCATCCCATTTTCGTCCCTTCTTGGGCCCCCTGGCACTCTTCTTTTGCTTACTTGCCGCTTCGTCTCCCGATGATGCTGGCGCTGATGTCGAGTTTTTGGCTTTGCGGGCTCGTCTAGACATCTTGGCGACAGGCCCAGCTTTGGCCACCAACAAATTGCCAGTACTTGGGGTGGATGGCCTCGAAGTGTTTGGTGTAGGTACTGGGCTCGAGTCGTTCGAAACTCCCTCATTCTGTCCATCATTGATATTGCGACCTCGGTAGGTGAGACCCGGAGCAGACGGGCTGTCGTCGACGGAGCGTACCGGTTGCACTGTTGGATTCGATGCAGTCGACGTATCTAGTTCGTGTAGTTGTTGATCAAAGTAGTTGTCGAACCCGGTGCATTCAACAATGGTCGTGTGTGGTTTCTTGAGCTGTTCGCCATAGAGGTTGATAAAGATGGTCTTGATATTGTCCACAAGTTTATCAACCCAGGATAGATGTAGGAGTGACCGGTAGACAGCCTGCAAACAATGCATGTTAGCGCAAATTTATCGTATTCGAGGTCGAATGCATTAGAGTTGCAGGCGCGCACCACAAAGATAACACCGAGCTCCTTTACCACAGTCCATTTCAATGTGTGCTGGTCGCTCTTGTACGGAGGATTTGTTGCAGCTGATTGCGAGTCTCCTACTACTGAACCACCACTCTTTTCCTCAATAAATGTATCGGAGATGAAGCTGTTCACAACGGAGGAATTTATGGGGGCATATTTCCTGGACCAAAGGACAACACCGTTGGTGGTGATGATTTCGAAAGTGTCCAACATGATGGCGATGCGCCGGGCTCCCACTTTACAGGACTCGGAACTCTGGACCCAACAGGCACCAAGCAACAAGACAAGGTGTACAGAGTCGGGGTCCGACAATTGAAGGAAAAGAGAAAGGAAAGCAAGAGAAGAAAATACGCCCGAGGCAGGGCAGGGCCAGACTGCTTTCTACACGGCCAGAAAAGACAGGCCACCTTCGAAGTTCGCGGGCCGGCTGAGAATTCGAGGCTACAGTTGACTGCACATGTGGCTATGTGTCCAGTGGTCTGGTCCTAGTTTGGCCGCTCCCGCTAGCTGGGTCTATTGCAGACATGGAGACATTGATCAATGGGTCTCAACTGGAAGCGCCTGGCTGATTGATAGCGCTTGAGCGCCGCCAAGAAGGCCAAAGCCTAGCTTGAGCCAGCCCTTCTGATGCGCGACCACCAGTGGCTTGAGGAGCCCATCACGTGCTGTGGCTGCTACACCCACTGTACGGAGTACTCCGTACCAATTGACGAGTTGTCCAACTGCGGTCTGGTGCGTCTGCCCTTTTGCCTTGGCCCCTTGAGCACCCCCCAACCACATGTGCAGGTGCAAAGTGGGTCCAGGCCTGCTGCACAGCCATACATATGTACTCCGTACTATGAAGCTGGTGGCTCCGGTAAGCCACACTTCACGGGACGCGATGATGCGCCGCCCAAAACGACCACATTTCCTCATCCCAGCCTCAGCAAACCGACCAAGTCTCAGCTGTTGCTCCCCCGTCACTACATCACGTTGTTGCAACGCTCTGCATTCGCAATCGACTACTCACTGACTTGGCCCTTCGATCACGACCCCCCAAACATAACAAAATCAACACCGCCGTCATGCAACGGGGGACATATGGGCAGTCGCCCCCGTTGCACCACCCCGTCCCGCAACATGTTTCTACAGTTCCCCAGCTCAGATCACCACCTCCGCCGCCTGGGTCTGCGCAGTCAATGGGGCAAACGTACGGAGGAGCGAGTACCCCATATCAGCAGCAGGGCGGTAATAGCGGCAACGTCTTTGGCGCCTACGGACAATTCATGAATGATCCAACAGCGCAGGTTGCCGCTCAATTTGGCCAAACCGCTTTCAAGCATGGCCAGGAATATGTCGAGCAGAATGTACGACTTGCTCCGCGCTCTTGATTTCTACAAAGTGGCCTTCCTTGTGCTAACAATGATAACAGATTGGCCGATACGTCAACGTCTCTGCGTTAAAACACTACTTCAACGTCTCTAACTCATACGTCGTCAACAAATTGTTCCTCGTCCTATTCCCCTGGAGACACAAGCCTTGGGCGCGCAAACAAGCTACTGGAGCCAGTGGGCAGGAAGGATGGTATTTGCCTCCTCGTGAAGACGTCAACAGTCCCGACATGTACATTCCAGGTTCGATCCTCTTTCTGTCTCTCTCTCCACGGCGTGCTTCGAGGCCAAATATGGAAGCTAACATACTGTTCTAGTTATGGCTCTTGTCACATATATCCTCCTCTCAACATTGATTGCCGGCCTCAAGGGCCAATTCAAACCCGAGTTGTTAGGATACACCGCCACGACCGGCATGGTAGTCGTCATCGTTGAGATAGTCGCCCTGAAGCTGGGGTGCTACCTGTTGAGCATCTCAAGCCAGTCTCAGCTTCTTGACTTGATTGCCTACTCTGGCTACAAGTTTGTGGGCATCATTGTCACTATTGTTGTGGCTGAAATTCTCAACGGTGGCAAGGGCACCGGCGGATGGATTGGCTGGGGTGTGTTTCTCTACACCTTTTTGGCCAATTCGCTGTTCTTGGTGAGTTTTCTTATCCTCCACTATAAAGCCTTGCAATACCAAAAGTCCAAGCTAATACGTGAATTAGATGCGATCGTTGAGATACGTTCTCCTGCCTGAGACATCGGGCAACACTGGCGGTCCTATGCAGACCGATTCCCGCGCAAAGCGTAACCAACGCACCCAGTTCCTCTTTTTCTACTCGTACATTGTTCAACTTTTCTTCATGTGGCTACTCACGATGGGAATTTGAGCGCAGTCATTTGCCGGGAGTTTAGGTGGCAGCAGGTTGGGACTGAAAAAGCGACGGGACAAAGACGGAGTCATTCAAAGGGGAATTTTGTTCGAGCCGGAAAAGTCTTGACAGCAGATGCCTATTCAGGACACAGTTGCAGACGGCCAACCATTGTGGTAGAGGATCATTTGGCTCCGTTTCTCGGCAGACTATGGAGTCCAAGATGCCAACGACTAGACGTTGAGGTATAACGCGAAATGAGGCGAGGTTAAAAACTATATCACGTTGCAAAATATTACACATAATGGCACAATATAAAAAAATGATTCCAGACCGCATCCGACCTCTCCACGACTCACGTACCCGATGTGACTCGTCATATACAAAACGCCCAACACCCAAAACATCCGTCCCATCACGCCGATCACCATCCGAACCTCCCCATCCTCAAGATTGAAACAATTAATCCTTTAAACCATGCACATCAACCCCGTGAAGCGGCTGTTTCCAAGTTGGATCCCAAAATCTGCGCCACGTTAGACGCACTGGTCTGTGTTTCTCCACCACGTGACGACTGCTTCACCTCAGGCATACTTACTTAGGCACTTGGTATATATCCGATCCCTACAAGACGCTTTCCTTCTCCCCCTCACCTCGCATACATATCCTCTGCTCTTTTATTCTCATTTTAGTTTTTAATTCAATAGCTTTCACATATCTGTTATTTATTTTCACAGCGGGCTTGTGGTTTTCTTCTTCTTCTTTTTTTTTTTAAAAAAACATGGCCCGAAATCCAATCTTTTCCGCAACGCTCCAAGCGGCCCTTCTGGGGGCCACGTCCAACATCCTAGCGCAGCTCATCGAAGCATACAGGAAACAGGCAGGTATCCTCCCCCCACGATTCAGCAGTGCAGGAAATGCTGACGAGCCAGACCGCCATCGAGGTCGACTGGATCCCCGTCTTCCAGTTCCTCATGTTCAGCATCATCAGCACGCCGCCCAATTTTCTATGGTGAGCGGGCCTCTGTCCTCTTGAGCTCGTGGTGAACGGGGAACCTGACCATCCCACACAGGCAAGACTTTTTGGAATCCTCCTTCCCGGCACGTCTGCCTCCGGCCGGACAGGGCAAGGCTGCGCCGGCGGTGGACGAGCAGCCGCTTAGCATCCGCAACACGCTGCTGAAGTTCGGGCTGGACCAGACCGTTGGCGCAACGTTCAATACGCTGCTGTTTAGCGTCTACATCCACTCTATCCACCTGGCTATGCCTGATGCGCCGCGCATTACCAACTTCACCAAGGCGACGAGCTACTGGATCTCTCCGGGGGTCATTGACTTTTCGGCCGTTGACATGGCCGTGGTGTGGCAGGCGGCGCTCGCCGAGTTTTGGACCATTGTGGTGGCGGGGATGAAGCTTTGGCCGGCCGTGAGTTTGGTGAATTTCACCTTGGTTAAGACCGTTGAGGGGAGGAACCTGGTGGGCTGTGTGGCGGGGTTGGGCTGGGGAATTTATATGAGTATGATTGCGGCCAAGGAGTAATTTGTTTTTTCCTTTGATCGGCCATTTTGGGTACTTGGCTTGCTGTGGTGGTGGTTTGATGACGAGGAGAAACGTTTCCATATTCATGATATTTGCCATGTGTGACGACTAGATCACGATAGATTGCCTGGAGTAGACAGATAGAATCAAAACACATAATTTCGCTTATCCTCGCTATGCTATCTATAGACGATGAATACCGTGTACAAACGCTATACAAATGTTACATAAACATGGTGAAATAGCCATGCCCTCCTCATATCTATGAATTGGCAGTCAGCCTCCAAAAGGTGGAGGAGTTCTAGCTCGAAGTGACGTCAAAATTTGCTCCAAAGAGTCATAGGAACACGCTGTCGCCGAGAGCCTAGAGGCTTCACTGGTACTTTCATAGTCTACCAAAGTTTCTGTTGGCTCAATTGACCAAGTCGAAGAGCTGCGAGATGAGACAGAGGCGGGCGATGTTGTTAGGTTTGGGTGAGGGTCGAACTCCATCGCTTCAGGGTTAAACCGAAAAGTAACCCGGCGAGAACCTCCAGATTGTGTTGGTGGCGAGGATCTGACGACCCTATTCTCCCAAACACCTCTTTCTGGGGTCGGATGAACGCACTGTCTCTCAGCACCCCAATCGGGCTGGGCGTTTATCCAGGCTCTGATTCCTAATTGATGACCGGAAGAATTATCGCGAGCCCATCGACTTTTCCGGCCTGACGTGTCATGGTGGAGCACAGTCAAATTACCATCTGAGGTAACTGAATTTGTGCGGCAAAGCGTCACCATCGCTCCAGCTTCAGATGCACATTCCTCGTCGGAAGTATCAGATCCAGGTCGTAGAAACCAGTCCGGAACCGGAGCAGTTGCTGATAGGTTGAGCAATTCCAATAAGGCGTCTGCGACATCATACCAGTACATTAGCCACGGCCGCATTCGCCACATGGTGTCTTCGCCCAGTTTGGCACATAGCATGTCGTTGGCAAAATTATAAATAGTTGCAAGAACCCAGCGCAGGTCTTTGGGAAGATCCTCCATAGATTGAATAATGCAAGACCATGCTCTAGCAACCTTGAAGAGGCGGTCGACTCCTGGTTCGATGGGCTTGAGTGGTTTGAAGAACCCCATGAGGTCGATGTCTTTGCAGCACGGCTGGTACGCCATGGCGCCAGAGAAGGTACGGAACTCCAGCAGCTTCACATTTGGATATATCCGATGACGGATTAAGGTTGTACTTAGTTGTCTATAAGTTGGATCCGATCTTGGTATCTCTTCGAGCACATTGGGAGCAATGTGTGGCGGAGGCTCCGGGGGGTCCATGGACAGCTCAGGAAACTGTCGCTACCAGCCGTCTTCAGATTCCTGTCGCGCTTGGTCGATTTCTTGTAGGAGCTCCTCCATTTCCTCCTCTAGTTCCGCCATGTACTGAATCTGGGAGGACATGATGGCGTTGACGTCTAGCTCGGCCAACCAAAACGCGTGGGGTGCCTTGTCGTAAAACAAAACGGCGCACTCGCCGCAAAGAGGCTGGTAAGAGCACTTCAAGAGATGAAATGCATGATACCTACTATGGATTGGGCAGAAGTACTATGTCACGCCCAGAGAGGACGGTTGCTCGTGGCAAACTGTGCTGGTTGAAGCATTGTGGCGGCCGCGGCGGAAACATCGTCCGCGGCACCGCATGGTGGTTGGTGAGCGTAGTTTTAGTATAAATGAAGCAGTAAGAACACTGAGATGCTGAAAATGACTGATTTGACATCAAAAACAAAGGTGGACGAATGGTGATTGCGAGGATGCCGACTTTAGAATGCCCAAGCGCAGATGGGATGCGGATATGGGAGGAGAGGCAGAAGCGCGTTCGAATAGAGCTCGCACCTTCCTCCTGGAAAGATCGTCTGGCTTCCGGCAAGCTGTTGGTCGAGTAACATCAATTGATGTTCCCAGCCAGCCCGGGCCAGGCCAGGCTTTTGCGATATCGTTCCTTGTAGCTTGCTTCAGCTCATGGGATCACTTCGGTGTGTCTAGAGCCCAGTCAACATGTTTGATGACACGATAAACAGGGTGAAGCCGAGCCGACGACCAGTGAATGAACAATGCCGGTGAATTCCGAGGGCGTGGCGGCCAGGTGCTTGCGAAAAATCCGCCAGTTGCAGAGTCGGAATTACGCCGCGATGGAGCTCTGCTCAGTGCTGTCAACAGGGGCAATAGAGCCAAGTTGACAGCTCCGCGCATCGTCCTTCATCCATCCAGCCAGCCATCCAGCCATCTACGCTAGCTGATCAGTATGATCGTTTGCCATCCCCAACTCCAAAGCTCCAAAGCTCCTCTGCATTCGGTCTCTGACCCCCGAGAACCCCGAGAACCCCAATGAGCCGCCATTCTCCGCGTATCCTCCTCCGTCTACTTGCAAACGACAACTCTGTCGCCCTTCGCTTCTGTCCTTCTTCAACACCACTCAAACCCTCAGTTCTCATTTGCCGCAGACACCATTCCCGCTCATCAAACACACCGCCGCCATCCTCGTTTCAATCCTTCAAAATGGCAGACCGTGTCCACCGCGTCACCATGTTCAAGCTGCCCAACCCAGCCGCCCAACAGAAGCTGATTGACGCGTACAAGACCGTCGACGCAACCAACCAAAAGGTAGTGTCAAGTCGCAAAGCATTCTCCTAGGCTGCTCACTCCCTCTGCCCCTCCTGCTTTTGTACAACCCCTCTCCTTGTTTGCCAATTTGTCGTGCTCGCCATGAGCCCCGTGTTGTACCACTCGGTTTCTCCCCCCCTGTTGTAAGCGAGATCGCCCGTTGCTGTGTGTGCTTCTCCAGCCCAGATCGCCAATATCGCGAGGGACAACCGTTCATCTGAAGAGAAGACTATCACAATATGCACTGACACACCCTTCTTGCAGGACGGCAAGCCGTATATCCTGTCACTGGCAGTGGGTGTAGCCGAGGAAGACCCTCGCGCCCAGGGGTACACCGTCGTGTGCAAAACCGAGTTTGCTAGCATGGACGATCTGAAGTATTACGACGAGAGTTGCGCCGCGCACAAGAACTTGAAGGCCACCGCGAAGGAGCTGGGTGTTGAGGGTATCATGACGGTTTTCTTCAAGCCCCAGCTCTTGGGGAGCTCAGCATAATTATTTTCTGTGTACTCCGTGATCGACTAGACGATATCCCATTTCAGATTTCAGAAGGCATCATGCCTTTGCGGTGGCTATGTGGTGTGGTGTGATGTCGTGCCGTGCGTGCAGTTTTTGAGTTGAGAGAGAAAGGATACAGAACCACAGTGTCAACCGTACGTACAAACCGGTACAAACGAGAGCATGCGCACCAGATTGAAATGTTCGTCTCACAGTAGTGCAGATCGGATCTTGATATTGGCGTACGGCATGTATTAGTTGTGCGAACTCCCCACTCCAATATATTCGTCATGATACCAACAGAACCTACCACGTCTCAACACCACGTCTCCAAGGTTTCCATCGTCTCCTACATGCCACCATCACACAACTCTTGGCACCTCGGACGACCACAAAGAACAAATTTCACACCCCTTTCCTCCCTCAGCACAACAAGCTCCCAACCTACTCTTCCCACCCCCTCTTCACATACCACTCCGCCTCCGTCTCTGCACTATCCCCATCCACTATCGAATCTCACCAAGAAATGGGTGTCGTGTCCCCTCAACGGCGATCAACATGCCCCCACACCATTCCACAGCATTGCCCACGAAGCCCTAGTTGTTTCTCATGACCGTGCAAGACTTGGTTTCGGAGAGAAACAGAATCCAAGAAGATTTGAGCCGGTTGTTACTCGGGGATACGTGACTATTGCGCCTGCGAGACTAGCTCATCGGCTTCTTGAGGACATGGACAGCGGGTTTGAAATCGAGGGCAGTCATCCTCTGGGTGAAGCGTGGGACATGTGTTACGACTTGAAAGGGGAGGAGAACAGGAGAGGGGGGGGTCAAGGGTCCCAAGTGGTAGGTATGAAGGGGCATCCCCTTTACAGAGAGACCAGTTCAGCTGGAAACTTGTAAGAGGGTGTGACTTGGGATGAGGAAATGGTAAATTGAAGTTGGATTGGAAATGCAACTGGCTGTTGATTTCGGAGCGCCTGCATGAAAGTTGTTGGTTTGGTGTGTGACTTACCTGGGAGTTGTGAGTTGTTGAAAAGCCATTATAAATGATCAATTTAGGAAGCTGTTGACGATGAGAAATACCGACTTCCTAATATCCCCAACTGAAGCCGTTGCATAAGTACGTCACAAACTATTGGTGACATACCATGATTTGCTTAATCCAATATTACATTACCTGTGAGACCATCTTCTGTTCTGCGAAGCACAACGTTTGCCACTGCATTTTGGCATTCATTCTTCTTGGATGAGGGCAAGCAGATTTAAAACGTGGGCATCATTGTCACAGCGAAAACACGTATAATTTCACTCAATTGCTATGTAATAGGGTGCCATGTGCTCTTTGCCAGCATAAATGTGATAAAACCGACTGATAAAAGACCAACTGATCATCTTATAAGTGAGAAACAAACATCAAACAGTGGAAGAGAAAAATACTCGCACAATACAGAATAAGCCGCCCGGGCGTTCATAACTCCATGGTCCAACAATTCGTGCCCACGTTATGTAGCCTGGTGTCGCCAGAGAAAATACCGAGACGGCGAAGAAAATCCTAGTTATGCACTACTAGATTCCTATGTTAAGCCATGTGACGAGCATGTGTGACGTCGTTGATCTCCGTCCCAGAGTCACTTCCCCTGCGATACGATGACGATTCGTCCTTGACCGGAGCCGTTATTCGTTCAATAGGTGTAGGTTTTTTTTCCAGGGTGAAAAGAGAAATGACCACCATGACTGCACAAGCCACTCCGATGACCTCAATCTCTCTTCTAAATGCGCCGATGTAGACTTGTCTTACGAGCCCTCGCAAATTGTCGGGCAGCCGCAGTCCTGATAAGGGAGACCGGTGCAGCATATATAGTTCTTGATCTGTCAAACGACCACTTAAAAGCCTATTGGCGTGTGCGTTGAAAAGGATCGTGCATAAAGACAATCCAATGCATCCACCAAGAACCCTGGCCTGGGCAACAGCGCCTTGAGCGGAAGCTCTCTCATTTGGCTCTGTAGCCAAAATGTTTGTCATAATTGTCGCTGCCGAAAAGGACAGGCCAACACCCAAGCCAAAAATTGCTTGGTAGCCATACTGGCCTGCCGCCGTCTCGGAATCACCAGACACAGTAGTCATGAGCCCAACTCCAAGAAGCTGAAGACAGGAAGCTGCAACCAGGGTATAAGATGTGTTGTTTCGTTTGCTTGATATGGCTCCTCCAAGAAAAGAGCCAAAAGCGCAGGCACTAAGCATTGGGAGAATCCGAACTCCCGCCATAAGTGGGTTTTGATTATTGACCATCTGAAATCGCTCTGGTAGGATTATGGAGAAACAAATGTATGGGAATCCAGTGAATAGTGTGACACTGTCAATTTCAAACACGTCCCAACGTTAGTCTTGTTCAATACACCTCAATTTCTGCCGATTCAACTCACAGTAATCCGGCAGCGTATACACGCTTGCCCATAAGTCCGATGGGAAATATTGGCTCGATATGACGATGTCGCTTGCGTGCCAAGTGTACCTCCCATGTAACAAAAACAATGCAACTCAAAGTGGAAACAATGAAGCTGATGACAATTGCTGGACTCAGCCAAGCTAGAGCTTGTGAGCCAGCCTGTTGCAAGGCGAAGACTAGAAAACCGGAGCTGCAGAGTAGCGTGGCACTACCGAGGAAATCGATGCTCCTGAAAGCTGTCCACGAGAGCAGGTCGGCCACGTCTTCTTGTGGCCAAAAATTGGTGAGTATTAAAATTGTTATGAGCCCAAAGGGAATACTACGGAAGTAAGCATTAAATAGGGCACTCGAGGAGCTGATCGCTTACTTGAGGTTAAACAACCATCTCCAATCCGATAGTTGAGATATAACACCTCCCACAAGAGGGCCCAAAACAAACGCTGCAGCAAGAGTGGCCCCAATCATGGCCCCAATTAGACTTGGCCGATGAACCGGACCAACTTCGACAAGTCCAATCTGGGTGAGACTATAAAGACCAGACGCCCCGATACCTTGAAACGCTCGGCAGCAAATCCTACAAAAAGTGAGCTGCGAAGCTAACAAACAACGGGATCTCGATTCATACAGCTCAATCATGCCTTTTGCAGTTGCACAACCCATTGAAAAAGCGATGAATATTATCCAGGACAGAATAAGCATGTTTCGTCGGCCGTAGATGTCACTCAACTTTGAAATGCAAACGGCAAACCCTGGGCGCTGTTAACGAAATGGCAAAACGTGTATGGCATATGCCATGCCAAGTGTCAGCATACCCATGTAAGTCAACAGATAAGCCAGGATAATCCACGGAGCATTGGCAAAGTCGTTCAGTTCGTGGGAGATGGTAACCAGAGAAGTAGCGACGATAGAGGTGTCCAGGCTGGAAAACAGAAGACCGACAAGCAAGCTTTTCAAGACGAAGTCAGCCGACTACTGTCCAAGTAAGGTTTCCACACGTCGACAACACTTACGATGCCATGAGAACTTTCTGGCGAATGCCGCTGACATTGTGGCGATTTCTGGCCCGGGAAGGCGCGGTTTGGTCTGCCTGGGATATATTTGGATTCTGTATGGACGGCATCTGACTAAGGGAAGGGTTAGGGTAAGGAAGCGACATCTGGAAGTCGCCCATGATGGTGCTCTTAGTATGAAAGCGGCCCAAGAAACAAAGTGCGAAATGGAGGGGGAAACGAGTGTATAACTGGGTGTCGTTGATGGTCCTGGTCTGACAACGAGTCGGCGTTGAAGCAGAGGAATGCCGAAGAAAAAAAAGAAGTCTCCAAACCGGGAGAGGGGCAAAGGGAATAAACGAAACTCATACGGCTCGGGTGATGCTGTGAATTTCGCCAAGCTGTGGCAAGCAGTGAATTAACAGCCGAAACAGACGAGACTCGCCAGAGTGTGACGCAAGTTTGGTCCGGTCTGTGCTATGAACTGGAAGGAGCATAGCACTTGAGCCATGGTCACTTCTGCCTCGCTCCTGCTCCAAATTGGAGTTACTGCTTGACTTTCTCGCGGGGAGAGACCCATTTCGCGACATTCAACTGTTCTTGACATGTATCGTTTCAAGCAAAATGTCTTTGACAAAACTGTGCTGGACTCGGTCATACAAGCGTGCGTTTTGATCTCCCAATCCACCCATTCGTTGGAGCCTCATGCATTGACACCACTTACAAGGACTAATGGATCTCCCGTTTGTAAAGCGGTGGCCACCAAAGACCAAGCTAGACATGGTCTTGGTCTCAATCGAGAGCAACCGAATTGCCAATCGCAGTGCAAGAGCAAGATTCTACGCCCCAAGTCGAAATTCCACACGTACAATAGAATACTGAGACAGGGGAGCAGACTGAGACCGAGAACGTGTACGGAGTATGATGTGTGTGCTACAATCCATCGGATTTCTGCTCTGAGCAGCATCCAAATATTTCGGCTGTGTGGAGCAAGCGGGAGTATACCATAAAAAGAGGCCACTCATTTCAACGACCTAGCCCGTGTAACAAACCATTCCCTACACCATGTTCCCTTGGATCAGTCCCGTTTGGAGCAATGAGTGAAGTGGCTGCTGTCAATTCCTACAACTGCGCAAGCCATGTATTGCCGGCGGCCATACATGACCAATTAGCGGGCCCTCCCTTGGCTATCACAGTATTACACCATGCTCGTACAGATACAACACTGCCTTGGTCCATTAGTTGGACGAGGTTGCTGGGCGCCGGCATGACCGAGCCCGTGGACAACTGTCACCCATGTATGGTGTCTCTGGGCCGACGTGGCTTGAAAGAAAATGCTAGATTCAATCTCGGGCTTTTCGACGGTGCTTTGTCTCGTTCTCTCCTGTGCTGACAATCGTACATTTGTCCCAGAGCAGATGATGTGGATTTCATTGGAAAACCCCAGGAAACCACAGACGTGGGTTCGAGGACCAGACTGCGTCCAACGATGCCAACTCTTGTCTGTGCATCAGCATGGCTCTTCCTAATTTAAGAAATGCAGTGAGGCCCAAATGGAATCCAAGCACTGTGAGTACCGGCACAAGTTATGAGAGCTGTTTTTTTTTTCGACAGAAAAGTCGCCCTTCCCCTGTCCTTTCCCTTCCTTCCTTTCCTCTTTTCTATTGTTTGTTCTTATTGTTTGTTCTTTTGCACTTGAAGCGCAGGGAACCGTGTGGTCCGCCCTTATGAACAGCATTGACGGCAGTCCACCAAGGCACTAACGTAATATTTTCTTGAAACTGCTGCGCTTAAGTGTAGTCTCAGTTACCCATCGAATCTTTTATTGACAGTCGTACTTGGGTTCTGTGATGATACATAAAGCGAAATAAAGCCATTACACTACAAAGGAGTGATCTCCACTTTTCGTAGTGTAAAGTAACTTTTATCGGGTCTGGTTCTTCAAACCGACAACCTGGAGGAGTCCAATGTCAGCTTCAACACATTGTTGCTTACCAGACCCTTTCACAAACCAGTCCGGCAGCCCAGGCAGGTTTGTCACCACCAATCCGTACTTCTTCGCAAATCTGTGACGCTGATATTCCCAGTTTAGGTTAACAGTCAAATCAGTAGCCCCGGGTATGTAGTTATTCAACTGGTATCACTCTACCATTGCAGTGAGAGACATAAAGTTGAGGTACCATGTCAATCACAACGGACGTCTGATTTGCCTCAGACTGCATACATGCATGTATGAGACCTTGTGACGGTCCTACAATTCCAAGGCCAGAGGGTTACAGCCGACACAAATCATGGGGTAGATGGACCTATGAGAACTGGAGACTGGCCGACGAACCCGAACGCCACCGTACACGCCCCGACTCTGCCTGAACTAGGCGTGCTTCACTCCAGAATGTGCCTCATCTGATTATCTAGGCTACAAGATATCGAATGTGGGGCATCCCGGACAGCCATGGAAATTGAC